TTTTCCAAATGTGGGTATTCCTTATAGCAAAAAAATAATAATAAATAAATTCTATTTCACTATTTTGATACACCTAAGCCCTTCTTCTCAGTCCCCAAAATACAATTATCTGTTCTTGTGGGCTGCTGACATCAACATGACGTGCAAATCCACAAGGTTAAATTTGAGGGATGAATCTACAAAACAACTTTCAGCTTTCCCCTTGCAAAAAGAAAAGTGGCAACTCATTCAGGTTATCTGAATCACCCTGAGCAGGGACTTAATTTCCCTTCTCTGACCACAAAGGGGAATTGAAGCTTTTATGGCTACCAGTAAGAACATGTACATTCTAAGTAGAAAATGAACACCAGTGAACACATGAGCACTCTTTTCTCCTGAAAAAGGGAATTAGCCACTCCCACTGTTGATCTTGTTTCTTCCCTTTCACTTACATAAACTTATGCATAGAAATCTTCTATTTCACGAATAACCAGGAGGTAAACAATAGCACAGAAAGTTCCCTGCAACACTGTAAAATGCAGAAAGTTACCGAAGTGTTCCACCAAGTACTACTCTCTACACTTAATTAACAGTTATGCTACTGGCACAAGATCTCATCTATTTGGCACCTCCTTATTATTCACATTACTCCTCTAAATGTTTGTTCTTCACTCAGCCCAGTATGCTGAGATAACCTTTAACTCACACCTCACTTAACCCTTTGCTGCTCTCCCTAGATGAAAAGGGTTTCAGGACAGCTGAGTTTCTTACCTGTCCGTTTTATGATCTCCCACACGGCAGCAGCAGTGGCAGGAATTATGGAAGGTTGATCGAGACACAGACGTCCAATATTCATGATATGGAATCCATCCACGTCCTTCTCAGGGGCGATGGCGTTGCAAACTCTCCGTTCATCTATGTGATCTGGGAGACACAATGCTCCCAAATTACAGTTCTGGCACTGGGATGGAGTCACCAATATGTCTGAATCATCACAGAGAAACACACACACACTTGGTCTAACGAGGGTAATTACTGTTTTTCACTGGGAATAGACTACACTGCCCCTCCAAAGGCAGCAGTTACTTTTCAAGTAGTCTACTCAAAAGTAAACTACGCCACTGGTCAGAGTGCTAATACAACAGATTCTGTCAAAATATGAGAGGCCAATACTCAGCTGAGAATGATGGTAGTGACTATAAAAGGACAGGTTTAAACAAGTCACTTCAGAGTCGTTCTGCATTCTGAAAGTGGCTCAAAAAAGCCATTGTGCATGGTACATGAAAATATGAATACATGAAAATCCTAAGCCGAAGTAACTTTGCAGGTCTAGCTCTCACTTTCCAGCAATACAACCATTTTTAGTCAGCTGGTAATGAGTAGCACCAAAATATATCCTACTTCATTGCAAAGCTGAGAGTACACAAAACTGATACTGATGAGCTCAAAACACTATCCATGGCTTAAATGACGTTGCCTGCATGTATATTATCAATATCTATTCATAATGAACATTTTTCACATGCACTAAAGATATGGAAGACGTCTGCAACTGCTTCAAGCTTACACTGCATAAACGTTAGGACTGATTATGAAAAAATATGTATGACAGTCCTCTCTCTGCAGAGTTACAAACCCAAGTCTAAAGCTGGCACAAAAAAAAGACACTCCAAAGGAACAGTTCCCCAAAACATTCCCTACTGATCCAGAAGGCAAACTATTTGATAAATGTATTTACACAGTGGTACCTCAGTCACAATTTCAGAATCAGAATAATTTGGGCTGGAAGGGACCTTTAAAGGGCATCTAGTTACAAACTTCTGGCAATGAGAAGGGACATTACAGTCTATTCCTTCACCGTTTAATAACACCCCAAACTGCTTACAGCATTGCACTTCTAGCTTTATTTCTGCACAAGACCAGAGGAAGGGATGACAAGCTCAAAACAACCAGGTGGGAAAGGTGTGTGAGGGGAACAGGTTGATTTCTGGACAAGTGGGATGGCCACTCACTGCTCCGCCCCACCCTCCATGAGCCTCAGTCAGCCTCTGGTCCGGTCCAGAATGGCAGAGACTGACCCAGGGGCTGCCCCAAAATGGCGGGGACTGACCCCGGGCCTTGAGAGCCCCAAAATGGTGGGGACTGATCCAGGGGCTGCCCCAAAATGGAGGGGACTGACCCTGGGCCTTGAGAGCCCCAAAATGGTGGGGACTGATCCAGGGGCTGCCCCAAAATGGAGGGGACTGACCCTGGGCCTTGAGAGCCCCAAAATGGTGGGGACTGATCCAGGGGCTGCCCCA